AAAAAAAAAAAAGAATAGTTCTGGACTTATTTTCCAGTTAGGGACTTCGGGAAATTTATATACAACACCATGTTTGACTGAAATCATGATTTCAAGTCAGTGAAATAGTGTGAGAGTTTGCTTTGGCCTAATTGATATCAAATCATCTTTCATAGGCCTTCTCCTTACAAACCAATTGTTTTGACTTCATAAATGCACAGAGATATACTAAGAATGTTTGATGATTTATAATTTCTGTGGCAGTTCAGAAAAGCAATAACCACTACACAGGTAAAGAAAAATATTACAGAGCAATTATTCTACACAGAATATTCTTACAGAGATTTAAGAAAACTCTCTTCCTTGTGGTAATTTTCAATCTAATTCAAATGATCAGATCATTTGGAGGTGCTATAGGAGTTTTGAAGGCATATGGAATACTTTCTAAACTTAAAAAACTTCTCTAGTGTTCATGTTAATGTGCACACACAAGCATATGACACAGAAAACAATGAATTTGAAAATTTAACTTGGGGAGTAGGAAGACTCCCTTCTAAAGCAGAGAATAAATCTCACCAATTAGTTAAAGTAAGAAATGATCATCCAGACGCTCTCAAGATGGCGACCTCTCTGGGATCCAACACCTACAATAGGCAGAACTGGGAGGATGCGGACTTCCCCATTCTGTGTCAAACGTGTCTTGGAGAAAACCCATATATCCGAATGACCAAAGAGAAATATGGGAAGGAATGTAAAATCTGTGCCAGACCATTCACAGTGTTTCGTTGGTGCCCCGGGGTCCGCATGCATTTCAAGAAAACTGAAGTGTGCCAAACTTGCAGTAAATTGAAGAATGTCTGTCAGACCTACCTCTTGGACCTGGAGTATGGGCTGCCCATCCAGGTTCGTGATGCAGGATTGTCTTTTAAGGATGACATGCCAAAGTCAGATGTCAACAAAGAGTACTACACACAGAATATGGAGAAAGAAATTTCTAACTCTGATGGAACACGGCCAGTTGGCATGTTGGGGAAAGCCACCTCCACCAGTGACATGTTGCTCAAGCTGGCCCGGACCACACCCTACTACAAGAGGAATCGACCCCACATTTGCTCCTTCTGGGTAAAAGGAGAATGTAAGAGAGGAGAGGAATGTCCATACAGACATGAGAAGCCAACAGATCCAGATGACCCCCTTGCTGATCAGAACATTAAAGACCGATATTATGGTATCAATGACCCTGTGGCAGATAAGCTTCTAAAGCGGGCTTCAACAATGCCTCGTCTGGACCCACCAGAGGACAAGACTATCACCACACTGTATGTTGGCGGTCTGGGTGATACCATTACTGAGACTGATCTAAGAAATCACTTCTACCAGTTTGGGGAAATTCGGACGATCACTATCGTGCAAAGACAGCAGTGCGCATTCATCCAGTTTGCCACGAGGCAGGCTGCAGAGGTGGCTGCAGAGAAGTCATTTAATAAGTTGATTGTCAATGGCCGTAGACTCAATGTGAAATGGGGAAGGTCCCAAGCAGCCAGAGGAAAAGAAAAAGAGAAGGATGGAACCACAGACTCTGGGATCAAGCTTGAGCCCTTTCCAGGACTGCCAGGAGCTCTTCCTCCTCCTCCTGCAGCAGCAGAAGAAGCCTCTGCCAACTACTTCAACCTCCCCCCGAGTGGTCCTCCAGCTGTGGTGAACATTGCACTGCCACCACCCCCTGGTATTGCCCCGCCCCCGCCCCCAGGTTTTGGGCCACACATGTTCCACCCAATGGGACCACTCCCGCCTTTCATGAGGTCTCCAGGACCAATCCACTATCCTTCTCAGGACCCTCAGAGGATGGGCGCTCATGCCGCAAACACAGCAGTCCCTAGCACATTATCACCACTCCGGGGCTTTACAGAAGAAAGGGCGCTTAAAAATCCCAGTACATGAATCTTGGAATAAATATATTTTTCCTTCCTTTGTAGTTTCCATGGTAGCTGAATGTGTTCAGATGTGGGCAGTCGGAGAACGACAGCCGTGCTTCCCTACACGTATTCCAAGGATTGATGGACCTCAAATAAGCTGCCATTAACACATCTGGTTACTACTATAACATTACTAATCAAATTTAATGCCTGTTCTCCTTACTTCTATGGCGAACAAGCAACTGGGTGAATTGGAATGTCTAACGGAGTTACCATCCCAATTGTATGTTCATTTTGTATCTTTTTTGGGGGGAAAAAATTGACCTGCAGTAAAATCTTTTTGACCATTAAAAAAAAAAAAAAAAGAAATGATCGTCCAGCAAACCATCCGATAATACATAGACCACATAGTAAAGAGACAGGAGAAAAAAATTTACTGGGATTTTTGAGCCCCATGTCTCAAATGAAATATACCAGCCATCTTTAGTTTTTATTATCATTATTACAAATGCAAAAGTGTTTAAATATGAAGATGCAAACTGAATTGGATGTCCAAAATGTTATAAATGAACATGAGATCTGCCATCCCAGAAGAGAGGAATGATCTACATTGTTATTATCCTGAAGAAGAAGGCAATTTATATAGCAGTGACAGTGCACTTAGCTCTGTACAGGGGGCGGGCGATACCTGTCTCGGTTCAGTGGGCTTCCTGTCTAAATAAGACTGAAAGCAAAAGGGGACAAAGACAAAAACTAAATTCATCATCAGAGATATAGAGCTGATCTCATCCATTCCATTAATCCAGCTCTATATACCCAAAGGTATTACCAAGAAACCCTTATAGAAAGAAGGGATATCTTTTGTCCTGCCTCCCACAATCCCAAATATTCCTGGTTTGAGTACTCCTTTCTATATTCCCTGGGATCTCATCCCAGTAATTGTGGCTCTTCAATTCCCTCCCTCTTCTCAACCTCATCTGTCACCAAACTCTGAAGATTGTTCCCAAATGCGTACAAGTTGCATGATCATCCAGTGTCTTTTTTAATTGGCAGATGTTCCTTCTGGGCTCATAGTGATTGGGGAATAGAATGAGCAGCCATCCTTAATGGGGGAAGGATGACACAGCCAAACAAGCCAGGTAAAACCACTTGTGTGATATGAGTGACAGATGTTCTGGCCCTGTCAGTATCACATTCAGGAACCATTCCTCTTTACTTTCCTCCATGCGGTTTCTCTGCAGACTGTGAAATCTTTAAGTATGTAGAGGAGGGAAATGAGAGATCATCTCAGAGGAGATCATTGTTATTCATTCAACAAATCCTTTCGATAAATATTTACTGATCTCTGAGCTGGGTCTCTGAGGACAGCGAGGCATTTTATCAATGGAGTTAAGTATGTGGGAGGGCAGTGTAGAATAAAGGATCAAAGTGAACACAGGCATTAAGACAGAAGGTGCATATTTGAAGGAAAACTGGTGAACCAATTTAATTGGAGCAAAGAGTTGCTATCTGGCCTCTATCTTAAAGTCCTATTTAAAGCCCTTTCAATGTTATACATGAGTATATGCATGTGTGTTCATATTACTATCAGTAAACGTGCTTTCGTTAGGAAAACTGATTGTCCCTGGTAAATTTTTTGTTTTTTTTTTTAAGCTTACTCCCTTTTTCTTGATGGGCAACTCAGTCTATGAAGGGTATTAAATGAACAAGGCTAGCTAGGGTAGGGGGAGCAAGAGAAGTAAAATGATAAACATGAAGAGAGAGAGAGATTTCTGGAAAAGTACAGAAAGAGAATGGGGGAGTATAGGAACAGAAAGGGAGACATAATCCTCCACACAACACTTATTGAAGAATCCTCTTTTGTCACTGACTTTGCTTGGCCTTCCTTTTTTCTCGCTCAAGCATGGGTCAATAGTAATTCCTCCAAGGCCAAAGGCCTTCTCTTTACCTCCTCATATAAAGTAGTTATGATGTCACTAACCAGGGCACCCATGCATGAAGAAATAACAACCACAAGGCAGGAAACAAAGGACCCTGATCCTGCTTTCCTCTTGAAAATTATTTTCCTACCAGTTGATCTAGAGTTCATTTTCCAGTGGCACTGCCCCCAAAAGAAAGTTTAGGAAGCCGGGTCTTTATCATTTACACTTTGCCCCTTATTCTCCATGTACTCCTCCTACATGAATCCGGAGCCTACAACTTGAATGCTGACTCTGATTCTCAAGCTGCCTGAGCATTCATCTAATAGGAAGTCTCCCGTAGGAGTCAATCTGCATCATTCCTGGCACACATGAGACGTTCAAGAAGTGTCTGTTGAATATGTGAGTGGGTTGGAGAAGAGATGACTCACCAACTATAGTCTGAGGGAGATCCAAAGGTAGAGAGCAAAGGAAATGAGAAGAGGCCATTTTATCGTAATGACTCTGGTCAAAATTAGGGAGCTGGCAAAACTTATGTGTGAGCCTTATTTTCCTAGTGACCCTTCTCCTCTCCTACTACAACTCCCAACGTCAAGCGCCCTCAGCCATACTAAGTAGCAAAACCAGTGTAAAGGAATCAATCTCAGTTGCATCGTGCAAAGAAGGTGTCATTGTTGTCTGTGGTTTATTTGTGTGACATGAGAGGTGTCCTCCTGCACTAAGAAGCCCGGGTTAAAATCCTGACTGTCAATTCTAGTCATGTAACCTCTATGGCATTCAATTTCACCTTCTTATTATGGTGATAATAATAACTAATGGAGTTATTTTTATTAAATGACCTAATGATTTAGAAGCATGAAGAGTCATGTGTTGCACAAAGTAGCTTATTAAAAATATTAGCAAAAGCAGTAATGTAGATTCATTCAGTAGTTGTTAATTCTCATCCTATGTTTTTCCTTTTCTTTCTTCTATTTTCCTTATGTTTTTCTCTTTCTTCCTCCTTGAAAAATTGGGAGTCCCCCTAGTACTTAGTAAAATGTCTTCTGCTCTGAGTTCTCAGGATATATTTAAACAAAACTGAACACGTAAGGGCATGAATGAATGAGTGAGAAAGTGAATTAGTGCCTGATGGTAATGTCCTGTCTTCTTTTCCCCATCTACTTGGGAATCTGAAATCTTTTGAAGTATCACCAGTCTGACATATCCATCCAGGGCCACAAACTTTCCTGTCATTTCTTAAATGAATTATTCTATTTGGAAAGTAATGCATTACTTTTAATTCTGTATTTTGTTACATCACAGATAACACATTGCTCAATCCTCTATGGTCTTTAAAAAAAATAAATAAACGGTGATCCTGGTTCTGCTTTTTTGGGGATATAAAATTTCACCATTGAAGAACAGTTAGATTTTTAATCAAATAGCTTCTCTGGTCACACAGATAGAAGGCCACTGAAAACCAAAAGACAATGTGGGCAATAAGCATTTAAACAAAGCTAACTACACAATGACTATTGTCAATGGAATTCAGCAAGCTTTGATGGTTAATATTAATTCCAATAGCATAGCTTTGTGAACAGGTAAGAGGCCCAAAGACCTTGAATGCTGGAAGAAGTATAGATCTTCAAAGTCATACAGAAACCAAAAAAATAAAATAAAATAAAAAGAGTGGTATGCAAAGGAAACTGAATAATGTAAAATCTTTGGTCTGAAGGAGGTTGGGGGGAACAACTGCGATCATTCTATTTGTAGAGCTGCCATGGAGAGTATGTTTTGGATTTACTTAACGAGCAATGGGTTGCATGCTCCAGTCTCCAGTTTTGTTTTGTTTTGTTTTTGTTTGTTTGTTTTTGTTTTGTTTTTAAGCCTAAGATAGCATCATAGTGTCAGATGTTAAGGACAAAGACAAAGTAGAATGATGGAGAGTTAAGATTTTGAGAGACATAACCCAAACAGTCCTGCACAAGTGCTTCCTGGGAGGGTTTCTGGAAAAGGCAAAGGCTGGGCGCAGAGTTGAAAATACAGACTGAAAGGAATAATTATGTGGATGTTCTATCTCGAAGAGAAGGATCAGTGATGCAAAACAGTTGGCAATGGAAGTCTCTTTGCTTAATGTTTTGCTTGTTAGTCTTCCTAAAGAGCAGAGGACTCCAGCATTGGAGCAACTCCAGTATTGGAAGCAGCATCAGGACAATAATTAGAAACAAATGCAAATTTCTTATTATACTCAACCCAACTATCCCAGGAGAGTAAAAGGCCTATACTGTGGGGGGTGGAATGGATTCATAAATACTTTCTGATGAATATAATTTTTTTACTAAGATGTGTTTTTTTTAAGTAGCATGTCATATATTTTTCTTTATGAATCAAACTGCAATCGGCTTCACATGAACCCTAAGAGAATTTCTGTTTTAACCAAGGAGGGCGAGAAACATACACCCCTAAACACACACACCCACAGCTAAATGTACAGCATTCTCAAACTCATCTACTTTCACACACCCAGGGACAACTCTGTTGTCTTGATAAGGAAGCCCTGGGACAATCCGTTCTGGAATATAGACCCTTGTGAGAAAATATTATTTTGTGATGTGACTTCTTTTCCTAACTGCACTCTCACCTAGATTAAAGCTTATGAAATTTAGATTTTAATCTGGCTAAACAACTCTACATGTGCTTAGATACCAATGCTACATGTGAAAAAATGAGTGCTATGGGTTTTTAAAGAATTGGTGAGTTTTATTGTTTTAGTTTTTATCCAGGGAAGCACTGACCACATCTGATTTGCTTAGGCAGTTCTGTACTAAATACCTACTCACCCCTGATGAAAGAAGGTGTCAGGTTGAACACTGGGAAATCCAGATTAACATACTAGTTCCCTCAGGACCTCGGAGGATTCACAGTGGTCAAACAGAGACACTGGGTTGGGGAGAAGAGACTTAAAATCAGGACTCCACATGCTGGAATGAAGACCCACAGGAATATGAGAACTATTATTACCTGGGATATTAAAAAATAGGGTTCTGGGTATTACACATTTGTAAATCTGAAACTGGGAAACATTAAGAAAATTGCCAAGAATTAAACAACCATGGATTTGCTCGTTCATATATACACTGAGAAATAGATGACAAATAATACCAATATATGCTAGTTACTATAGAAAGTTGTTAAAAGATAAAAGATGTGCAGTTCCTGCCTTTGAGATGCAATTATCAGTCCCAGCTCAAAGATAACAGAGCTGCAAGGGAGGTCCGTCCACCATAGTGCGAAAGGAAGACAGTCTTCTTGCAGTAGATAAAGCAGAAGACTTCAGAAGGGAAACACACTAGTGCTGGCATTTTCCAGATTTAAAAAAAAAAAAAAAAAGATGGAAACAGCTTTATAGTCAATGAAGATCTCTTTTTTGGACGCTC